TAACGTGACTCCAAATACTTCACTGAAAATGTGCCCATTTTTGTATTTTTCCAAAGAGCTTACTGAAAATATAAATCATAATGATAAAGAAGACTGTAAATGCTAAGTTCTGTGATTTCCATATAAATGCATATTAAGGTGTGTTTGGTGGTTAAACTTTTAAAAGAGGCAGTTATAAGAGTTTTTACTATTCATGGGGCTGCTTAATATTTACAACCTCTGAATCCAGGTACTAGTTTCACAATTCTTGTTTAAAATGAACTGCAGTTGTAGAATAGTATGGCAATCTTTCACCATTTCACCCTTAAAAACATAATATGTATCTGAAGATATGGGATTAGAAGCTCCAGACAATAAAAGGGTTAACAGGCATTAAGTGCGTTTTCCAGAAAGCAAAAAAATACCTAAGCTTCAGGTTTCGCTCTTTTAAAGGTTCTGTAAAAGTGATTAAATCCAGTCATAAAACAGGAAGATTATGCACAGATGCTGCAAATGTTGGTGCAGGAGAGGAAATCTTAACTTTGGCACGAGAAGAGAGAATAAGGCCTGCAGATGTGGAAGCATAAAAGTGAGAGAAAAGAATAAAAACCATGATTGATGCCCAAAATAGTACATAGTTGTCAGAAACACCAATAAAGCTATCAGCTGAAAAACCAGCAGAGGAGTCACAGTTTCATGACTCTCTCAGTACCTTTTAATGTATTTTTTTTTATCCTTTAATCAACCCGTCAGTAGGTATAACTACTCAGTTTATCTGGCTCTGCCCTCAGGTGGGTTTTAGAGCAGCAGGATGTCAGAAAAACATATTATTATGGATATATTGTGATTAAATTGTCTACAGTGAATCCACTTTTTCCAGTTTTTTTCTCCATCAAAATTTCCTCACTACTCCTTATGAATTGTAGCATCTAGTCCACTAGAACTACACTGTATATACTCAATAAATCCTTTCAAACAGGTATTTTCCATCACAAAATAAGAGCTAAAGTGGTGCCAGTTAGCAAAAACAAAAAAAAAAAAGAAACCGTGCAAACACATTAAATCAAACTATAGATTTTGCTCAATCGATTTTCTAAAATTCATTGATTATCTTCGGAATTATTTAAAATCTGGAGTTATTATTTTGTGTTTTAACTTGAGGGCTTGATGGCTTTATAGAGAAATACGAGTCACTCAATGACCGTCTATGTCTTTAGCATTAGTAGATGAAAAATTGACATGATTCATCCTTCTTTTCTGTAGTTTAGAGGTACATTTGTGATTGGTCAGAAAGTAATTAAAACAGTCGTTTTAAAAAAGTTAATTAATAGCACTTAAGTAGCATCCGAAAAATAATCTCTGGTGTTCCACAAGGCTTGGTAATGGTGTCTTAGTTACTTATAGTTTATGTAAATATTCAGTTTAACAAGTTAAAGTATTGCTTTTACTAATGATACGAGTTGATTTTATTCAGAGCAGGATGTGAAAAAAAAATACTATTAACTAGAGAAAATGAAAAAGAAAAGAAATTGAAGTTGGCATCAGCTGCAAACCCAAAACACTAACAATAAAAACAGATATACAGCTTTGCTAAGACTCTACTGCTGCTGCACAAATGCTTGTCTTTTTTTTTTTATCAGATCAGCAGATTGTTCCACTTTCTCTGTTTCTCCAGCTGAATGATCAAATTTTCCTTCAGCGTGTAGCGAGTCATTAAAAGAGAAGCTCTTTTTGAAGTCTGTCTGCTGACAGCCGCTACATCCAGTATCTCCCACTGCAAATCCGCTGGTGAGGATGCGTCCCTCCCCACCGCGACGCATAAAGCGGAGCAGAGACGAGCCGCGGCGAAATGAGAGAGCACAAAGAGCGAATTCACGGAGGAGGACACGCGGAGGGGGTGTCGGAAAGAATAACGATGAAGGCAACAAGCAGGGGGATGATGAGAGGAACAGACGAAAGACGAGATGATTATGACAGGCGAGCCGCGGTTTGGGAGTTGCAACGGGCCAAACGAGGAAGAAGTTCAGGGCAGCTTCCTGCAGAAAAACGGCCCCCAAAGTTCTCCGTGGCAGTAAATCATGTCGCCGGGCTACATCCTGTCTGTTCTCGAATTCGCACCAGCCTGAAGGCCATAAATGGGCCCGCTGCCTTATTGGAAACAGATGCTGTGGCCGTTACAGGGGTCAGGAATGGGACCGAGCTGGATGCTTTTGGTGTGATTTTTGGTTTCGAGTTAGGGAAAACAAACATGATGTTTCCTGAAACAATTACGGAAAAAAGAAAGTGCTGTTAATGCACCGTATGTTTGTTGTATCATCTGAATCAGGGGTGCAAAGTGCGGCCTATGGGCTCATAGTGGACCTCGGGGTGGTTTTGTGCGGTCGTTGAGGCTTGTTAAAATAGAAAATACTTGGGTTCAATGAAGTGTTTGTATCTTATTCAGCATGATTTTTACTTCAGTTTTATTTTTAAAATATCAAGCGACTTCAAATGTGGCCGTTCACTAAATTTGGCTAGCATTAGCTGCTAGCACCACACGTTGAAACTCGTTACCATCATTTTTACAACTCTCCATTTAATGTTCCTTTAGATTTTTCTAATTTAAAATCAAATATTGATTACTAAGCTTCAACAATTTAAAAACATAGTATTAGCAACTGAATAACTTATCCAACATGGCGGTGATAATGTGATGCTTACCTGATTTTTTTTTTCCTTCACTCTTTCTGTCACATTTAAGAGAACATGTTTTGACGTTGACACCAACAATTTGGTGTCAAAGCAAAACAATGTTCATATATAATACCAAATACAACAGGCTTGGATTTACAGGGACCTGAATGAGTTTCAGCCCAGACTGTAAATATTCCTCTGTTTATTTCGCTCGACTTTGTGTTTTTATGGTCAACAGTTAATCACCTGCGCCAAAGAGTAATTCATAAATGCCAAAGAATAACCAAAGAATAACCTTCATAAGTATGACGCAGTGAAAATGAAGTTACGTTCATTTTGACTTTGATGGATGTTTAAAAGCTACATTTTTGTAGAAATATTGAATAAGGCTTGCATACAATTTTTCTGCCCCCAGTTTTCTAATAAAAAACCAAACATTTTTAAGTACATAGTACAGTTTAGCCAAGATGGCGTCCAGAACCGTTGATTTTGGAAAGTGCACACATGCTTTTTACCTGTCAGTCATCTTGCTTGTTACGAGCTCATGCAGTCTGTTTAATCCACAAAGAGTGAGCTGATCACTCCCTCCTAATCCAATCAACATCAGCCCTCATGTGAATACCTGACATGGGGATGATGATGGAATGAATCTGAGCTGTTAGGTAATCTCAAATTTCGCCTCGTAATTCAAGAAATTCACCAAAATTAGTGGCATTTTTGTAAATATTCCCACATCAGTTGTGAGATTTTATTCTTGCAGCCGGCTTCACTTCCAGCTGGGGAATATATTTCCATTTTTCCTACACAAAAGCTTTTAACTGTGTGAGATTATTGATTTATTTTTGCTTAATCTGGATCTGCAAATGACCGAAAATTGTGTTTTAAAGTATAATTCGGATTATAATTAGTATTCTGGAGCCTATTTGCTCTGTGTTATTGCTAATAAATACATTTTTATACACTGATATTCCCTGTGACTTCACCTTTAATTCTGATTTTACATCAGTTATGGGACGTTCTGCTTCTTTAAGGAATTATTTCCTGACTTAATCAGTAAAATAACATTTTCATCTTCATCCTCTGCATTGTGCACACCAATTATTATATTGTTAGACTTCTAAGCAGCTGCTTGTGGAGCCTATGGCTGCTATAATGTGAAACATCCTTTTTTCTAACAACAAAGAATCCCTAGGGCAGTGTGTTGGTGCTCTTTTTTGTTTTATATTGTACAAAAATGCAGTAATATTCCATATAATATCTGATTTGGAGGGGATGCCCCTATTTCTGCATGCTAATGGAGCCTGGAATGTTTATTCCCAAGCTTAGGAAGTGACACAAACACACACAAACACACGCAGACACTGCGGGCTACACACAGTTTCTCTGCGGAACATACAAAATAATCTCATCCGCAGCCCTCGCTTTGACCCCATTCTGAGATAACGCACACAGATAAAGTGTGTCAATGTTGAGAACCGATAAATGCATCTAGTAAAATGTCAACATTTTTTTTTTGCACAAACACCACAGGAGTAAGGTGTGAAAACGGATCAGATTGGACACGCTTTGCACGTTTGGCGCACAACCTGTGAAGACTCCCGCAGCGTCCAACATGATGACCTGCATAAATATGAAGCTGAGTTAGTTCACTTACCCATGTCCGCCGCTCCCGTGGAAACTTTCCCTGAGACAAAAAGTGCCTGAGATGCTGTCCCACAGGTTGTCGCGGCGCACGCAAACAACTGGACGTCCCGTTTAGGGAATCGGGAGGAGGAGGAGGTGTGACGTCACCGCCAGAGGCCAGACATAGACCCAAACACTGAGACAAGAGTCCTGCTCCGGATTCACACGTCTCATCAAATACAGTAAGCCGTTAAATGCGAAAAATATACAATTTTATTTAAGGATTTACAGTTGCACATGCGCACTAATGCGCACCTCAAACAAGATGAACTGAATTTTATTTCATTGTAAATGTTGACTCCTCGTTTTTAACAGCGGACCATATTTCATTTAGTTAATGAAATATGTCCTATTTGATGTTTGTTGTGAATGGCGTATGCTCGCAAATGAACGATGTTATTAGTCCAATTTTGCTCAACCTTTTTCAGCGAAAAAGTACGACGCTGCTGTGGATTGGCAAAAAAAAGAAAAAGAAAAAAAAAGGTACATTTCAGCCGGAAAAAAAACTCGGAACTTTTGAGATTAATCTCAGAAATGTTCTAAAAACAAAAGGAAAAAAAAAAAAATCTTGGATATTTCAGAGAAAAACTCAAGAAACTTCGAGATAAGAAAACACTGAAAAAAATGTAAATGTTTGAGTTTCAAATAATTTTTTTATTTTTATTTCTGAGTTTCAATGTTCACCTTTTGTTTTCAGTCATGAAAACGCTGTGAAGCAACAACTACCTTTCATAAATGAAAACATTCATCATGCTAATGACGGAATGGAAAATGGAATCTAGAAATAAAAAAATATTTACTTGATACCATTTCTCTCTTTTTTTTTTACATGAATCCAGATCAGAAAAAAAACTAAATACCATGCAGTTCAAGACCCCATTGATCTAAAAATGAAAAAGGTGAAATTGTTTCAATATTTAGACATAAAACACTTTATTATTCACTAAATTTCTGTCAAAATACAAAAACAAAACAAAACACATGTCGGAAGACACATGGCTGCAAAGAGGCAGAGATGACAACTCTCCAGACCTTCCTGTGTGAAGGTCACAGCTTCAGCGGGATGACGGGCCAGTACTTGGGCTGCTTCAGGTCGCAGTTCCTGTCGAACACCAGCTGCATGGCCGCCTCCATGGCCATGATCTTGGCCGCGTCTTGGCCATACAGCTTCTTCATCTCAGCGGCCCGCCTCTCGCCCGGCCGCTCGGCAGGGGGCGCGGCGCTGCTGCGGCGGCCAACGGCGCGCAGGTCCTGGTCGGCTGGGACGTAGCTGTCCTGCTGCTCCGCCTCCAGCTCCTGCTGCCTCCCTGTAACGTATCGTCATTACTTCAGCCTTCATCTAAAGGAGTTGGAATTGACCTGTAACGTGGACGTACTCAGCTCCTCTCTGTGTCTCTCCGTGTGGGCAAAGTACTGCCGCAGCTCCTCGCTGATCTCCATGTTGCTGACGTCGCACTCGATGTCGCTGTCTGAGCTGCTTTCGTCTTCTGCGTGGTCGTTGTTGCTGCTGCTGCTGCTGCTGCGATCGCTCCCGCTGGCCTGCCAGTCGGCGTAGCGGCGCTGCTGTGCCAGGCCGTAAGCAGCCTCCCAGGCCTTCCTGTAGGCTCCCTGGTGCCTCCGGCGCCAGGCCATGGCCTGCCGGTAGTGCTGCCAGTAGCGGCTGTAGACAGGGCTGGAGAACCAGGACATCATAGCGCTGACGTCCTCCTGCAGAGAAACAAGACTTCTTATTTCTCCATTTACAACTCAATTAGGACGATTTAGTCAGGAGCTGCCTGGCTGCAGCTTTTTGTAGACTGCAACTGGTTTTAAGTTTTGGTCAGACATGAGTAGAGTGTCTTACAATAATCCAGACGAGACGAAACAAAAGCATATTAATTCAAATAAAATGTGCAGTTTTGAAACTTAGTAAGGAGGAAAAGAAATATAGAACTGGATATAATCTGCATAACAATGATGGGAGATGTCCTTAAAAGATTGCAGGATGAGACCAAGAAGGAGCAGATGGATCAAAAACACTAGTCCCAAAACAGATCCCTGTGGAACACCAGACTGGATGGGATTAGGATATCTAAGTTGATGCAGTGTGAGGGCAACCACAGCACAACAGATGCTGGTATTCTGTCCTGTTTAATCTTGGACTGACTCATAGATCAGGTCTGAGTGTCATAATTGAAAAATAATGAATTTGAAAATACATGCAGCATTCAAACAAAACTTTATAAACATCCGATTTTGAAAACTATACAAGAAAATCTGACTTTCTGCTAACAAAAGTGACTAAAGATGTGTGTGTACAGAAGCACTTGTATTGCAAATTTACTGAAAAATCTACTTTTTCTCCACACTCTGGCAGGATAAACAGAGAAACTGTTTTCTCGTTTTTTCTGGGTATAAAGAGCCATTTCAGGCCGTTTGGTCCTTTAACAACACAATTTCTCTTATCTGCTCAGAATTATTGTGTGGAAATGTGAATAGTTCATTATAAGTGATATGGTTTATGCTCATACTTGAGTATAAATGTAATTAGCACAGAATCTCTTCCATGAACTGTATTCTATCTTATTTCTTCTTCTGTTGTCCTAAATGTTGCTTTTTATTTCTGTAACGCTTTTCAGTTTTTGATTCTGCAAAGACTTGAGTATTCATTTAGCTCTGTGTTGTTTATGCTGTCATAATTCCTAAATGCTGCATTTTGCAGGAATAAAGCTGCAGAAACCCGAAGAGACTAAACAGGAAACCGTAAAGTACTACCAGGTGTCAGTAATTGACGCTAATTTAGCTCCTACCATGATTGACTGGACGCAGCTCTAACTCCAGTCCCTCCGCAGGTCTTCTTCTGTGTGGACAGAGATAAAACTGTAAGTAAATCTAACACTTTATTGTAACGCTACGTCCTGTGCGTCAAGGTCTCCAGCGATAACAAGACGTCGGCACGGCGCCGCTCTTCATATCATAAACATATTCAATAAACCCAATATTTTCATCTAAAGTTAACTCAGAACATCAACTGTTTACCCTTTACTGTTAGCGGCTCATGGTGCCGCCACATTGAAAATTTCCCAGCAGCCTTTGAGCGAAAGGAAAGTAACCCCCGGTTACCTGGCGTCCCCTTGCGGACATACTGCGAAGGTGTTTAATAGTAATAAATTGTGCAACATTTAGGCCTATATAATGTGTTTGTTATAGAAACTGGTTTAATGTTGGGTAATATTGACTGCCTTTTATGCTATTAAATCAATAATTTAGATTACCAAAACTCTCTTATTCATATGCTTCACCAGAGATTTTATTTGAAAGCTCCTAAAATAAAAAAATATGATTTCAAGATTGTAGTTTAAAAATGAAAATAAAGTTAAAGAAAATTGGCCTCTTTATAGATTCCTTTCTCTTCCTTAACAATAAGATGTTTCAGATCATTAATCATATTTTAATCACAGAGAAAACCTAAATGATTATTTAATTTATCGAGGGAAAATATCTAAAAGTGAAAATGTAACTGCCCTTTAAACCTAATAATTTTACATTAGCAATGTTGATTTCAAGTGTTAAACTCCTTGCAACAACATCTCAGCTTTCACATAGGATAAAGTTACTTTGGATTACTTATTTCCCTATTAAATAAAACCATCTGAAAATTTAGCAGTTGCTCAGTTTATCTTCAAATGTCTGTGTGGTGTGGATGCTAAATTTGTCATTGCTGCTTAAATCAAGCAGTTTAAGGTAAATATAGGGGAAAACAAAGTTAAATTTTCCCCTTTTAAACATTTGCATTTGATATTTGACGGATGTCTTCATATTTTGCTAACAGGATACAAACAGAGCAGCTTTGCTCAGCGTCTGAGTGCTGTAAGACTCGTTCTAGTGTATATGTGGGTCATACTTTGGCTTCAGGCTTCAAAGCTTTCAGAGGAAGTGAAGAGAGGCTTGCGTCTTCTCTGAACATGTTTTCTCCCTTCACGTAGGAATGTGTGTTTGTGTTGACAGTATAAAAAGGCAGACCTTAATAAATGGAAAAGCAGGGTTTTGCTTTGATTTTTATGTTACTGCTTGTTGCATGAGTAACAAATGCGCTCAAATCCTATTTTTGGTGAATACAAATAATTAATAATAATGTATTTTGGGGCGGTGACTCATATGATATTCAAAGTTTAGCTCTAAACAAGTTTTCTGTTGATTTAATCTTCCCAATAACCCACATTTTTGTGGATGAAACCTCATTCTGGACTTTATTTCAGTTTGATTCTTTGTTTTATCCTGATAAGATTCATGAAGTAGTGCCAGCCACGTGCTACTGTTCTTATCTAACTTTACTAGTACAGAGTAGTACAGGTTAAAAGCCGCAGTGCCCAAACCAAAGATTAAAACAGCAGATATTTTAAAGTATTTGCTTTTCACATTGCATTGCTTACCATCAGTTTCTTTTCATTCCTCATTCTGAATCAGTTTCATAATTCTGCTATGTTAGCGCGTGTAGCTCGGCGCAGCTGTAAAAGGTTGCATATTGTTGCGTGCCATCCATGTTTTTCCTATAAGTTGAAGCGTGGGAACCCCAAACCTATTCTGTTCACACCTCTGCATTGTAGTGTGAAACCACAACCTTCCTAGCTCACCACCTTGACCGCTCTGAGCATCTTCACCAGTCAGAGCTACGATACGAACAGTGTCGGCAGTCTCTGTGCTGCTCTGAGCCTTCAGGGTTCCACATCCCATAAATCTATGGCTGTTTCCGTTTTCACGAATCACTCCGCGTCTAAATCTTGCTTACAGTCCAGCTGAGGAACATACAAAAAAAGTGAAATATTTCTCTTTTTTTCCCCCTCTGTTTTTTTTTCTTTTACATAAAACAATAAAACATAAATGGTAAAATCCCCAAACTTCACAAATGGTTTCTGAATGTAGTTTCAGGGTCACACTTTGCAGTCAATCATTTTCACGTTACGTAGACAATGTGGGCAGGATGTATAGGAAGGTGTTAAACTGGCAGCTGACTCGTGCAACACATTTCTCCACTAGTAGGTGGAGAAACAACATGCAAACTTCATGTAAAGCTCAAGTGAAGTGATGAATGCTCAGAAAACGGCGGTCAGTCCACTAACTGAAAGATAAATTACAGAATAAGCCCCTGATGTAATAAGCTATGAGTTAAACCATGCTGGTTTTAGTTCCAGTTTTGATAATGTTGATATAACATTTCCCTTTCCTTGTTGGGAGCTGTATGTTTATTTTAAGCCTCAGCTTCTGTAAAAGAGAACATTTCTGGTCAGCTTTGACTATAACTTGACCTTAGGAAACATAACTGAAGGTGTTTATCAGGGATAACTCCTTGCTCCTCTTTAATTCCCTTTTTATTATCCATTTTATTCAGAAACTATGACCTAAGATAATACAAAAAAACTGTTTTCAGATGATTAATTCATTTACAAAGGAATAAAACCTGTCAAAATACAGCAGACCCTGTGTGAAAATCACTCCCTTCTGACACCATTTATTACCTGTGATTATTTGTATATTTACAGGCCACAACTGCTGAATCAAGAAATCGCTTAAAAATAACTTGTTTGACAGCAAGAAGTTGGCTAAAATAGGTGAAAACGTGACATCATCTAAAGACATTTAAGAACAAATGAGAAATATTAAGTCAGGAAAGTGTTATGAATCTATTTGTAATGCTTTGAGACTCCAAAGAAGTAGAGGAAAAACAATTATCCTCAACAAATTACGACTTTCTCCCTCTTTCTTCCTTTTTCATTCTAAAAACCCTCCATCATGGCTAAATGACCCATTACTCAAAGAAGAGCAGGAGCTCTATTTAAAGACGCTGAGAGTAGCTTAGAAAGTAGCAGTTTTGTTTTACTTCCTATTCAGCGGCGGTCAAAATGAGCTGATATGAATTCATTTTCGCTGTGTCGACCTTCGCCCTCCTGCTTGCAAACGTTCTGAAGAGTCGACTGACTGCAGAAGTGTTCAGTACTTTAGACCATCATGGATCTGGACAAACTGTGGCTTGTCATGCTGCTGCCTCTTTGTTTTTGTTTGGAGCCTGAAGGTACAAGAAAGGAGCTTTTACATATAACCTCTACGGACAAGTCTGTCTTTTCTTCATATTTCACCTGTTTTTCTTCGTATTTTAACTATTCATTATTTTGTTGACAAGTTGTTGTGCCGGATTTACTCCATTAATTCAAATTTTATGTTAATCATTAATTTTCTCGTTAATGGAGGCAATAATTACTTATTTTAAGACACTGTACAAACATGACATGCAAAAAATTATTTCTACCCTCCACTTGAAGTTAGTAGTGATCCACTTGTATTTTTCTTTGCTTTGATGCATCTCTAGCAGATGACGGCAGCTTTTCTCTGCTCAGAGTGATCAGTTGCATGGTGGCGGTCAGTGCTGCGGCTGGATTTACTGTCGTAGCCGCAGTGACACTTGGACTCACCCTGAGAAAAACACGCTGCAGGTGATTGTCAGCAAAACCGTTATCGGGTTTAAATCTATAAAACTGTAAGATATAAAATAAAAGGTGGACCGCAAGTTATTTTTGACTCATCTGGAGTAGAAATAAACATACAGAATTGATAATTTGGTACCTAGTCAATGGGCATAGGAGATAAAGTGAGACATTTTTAAATGTTATTTAAGGGTGCAATCAATTTTGTGTGCGGACAAGAATCTTTGTGACTTTGACGCTGATTTTATCGGTTTAACTCTGATTCTTTCTTTTTGTTTCCAGATGCTGCAGACAGTCTGAAAGTCTTGAACTAGACGTAAGTGAAGCTTCTTCTTTAAAATCTACATTTACTCCGAAATACTTCACTCGGAGATGTGCCGAATATTTCCTTTTCTGTTTTCGTATGTGTGTAGAGCGGCAGCAGAAACTTGCATTTCATTTCAGATCACTTAAATTTCTGAATAAATATCACATTTTTGGAAGCTTAACACAACGGCGTGTTAAGAATATTCACACCTTTTGAGCTTTTTCACATTTTGTGTTGCGAGAACCAAAACGTTTCATGTATTTTATTAGATATGCATGTCGTAGACCAACACAAAGTGGCGCCTTATTGTATTGGGGAAGAAAAATACAGCACAACTCTACCAGTGTTTAACATCAAAACTAACAGTTATACAACATTTTCCGATGGTTTATTGTATTAAAATGCATTTGTTTGGTGTGAAAGTGTAAAAAATTAAAAAGAGATGTTGACACTTTTGCAAAGTGTTCAATGCTCGTCTGCCACTGAAACAATCAACCTGAAACGTCTCAAACTATATAAATTTGTGATGTTTTCACACCATGGATGAGGCACAAGACATGAGACTAAAAACCACAAATCTTCTTGAACAGCTCAATGTGTTCTGACAATGAATTTAAAAAACTTGTGCTGATTGGAAAAGCTGTAAATCTGCCGTAAGTGGTTGTTAGTCACCTGTTGTTGATGTTTGAGGCCAAACAAAGTTTCAGGAGGTCAGTGGTGGCAGACAGGATGAGGGTGTAGAGTGACCTAAATAAAACCCGGGTTTCAGTTTGACTGCGGCTTCCTGATCACACTTACAGTACGTCGAGTGTCTCTCTGCCCAGCGTTAAGATGCAGGTCGCTGCTTTATGTTTTCAAAGGTTGACCCTTTTGTTGGATTTTTAAAAATAATTTGTGGACGTTTCTTAGCTTGAGCTTTTGTTGTCTTTAACAGGGTGAAAATGAAGGGGAGTACACCAGCCTTCAGCAGCCTGAGGGAGATTTCTACCAGACTACATCTCTGGTGAACCATCCGCATGTCGGCGCTCTGGGGAGGAAAAGTAAAAAGGCCTGTTTAGAAACTGAACAACAAACGGAGGACATCTATGAAAACCTGTAAAACAAAACAAATATTCTGTGATGAAAGAAAACTTCCAAAAAAAATCTGCTGATCTGGGAACATCTACCTGAGGATTTTACCTGTACAAGCATTTATAAATTACAATATTTTGTTTTTATTATCTTAACTGTATAAAGCTTCAATTTCTGCAGTGGTTTGTGATATGAGGCATATGGGTGGTTTCCCAGGGCAGCAGGAGAAAGAGGGCGCACAAGCATCACATTCATTCTTAACCATCTTTTCTGTTGCTTTTATTTGTGCTGCAAATGGTTTAGTATTTTTAGCTGCTTTCAGCAAGACCGCATTTTAATGTCCCAGAATTTAGATCATTTTCTCTATTTTAGGTTGTTTGGTACCAGAAGCTCCATACATGAAGCACAACTGACTAAAAACACACCATAAATAACTTAATAACTTATTATACTTTGTTTTACCCAATATACGTTTTGTGTTTTATGCTAAAAGAATTTTTTGTGTGCTGGATTTTTGGCAATATACTTGTACCTAAATAAAAAATCATAGTAGTATTGATACCGCAAATATCCTCACCTTTCAGTGTCATACAGGAGTGGAAAAAATAAATTAATTAATGCTGACCAAGATGCAGCTGATTTAAATCACTTCCCTCCTGAGATTCTTATTTAAGAAGTGAGACTGGAGCAGGGAACGATCATGGATCCCAACAGAAAGCAAATTTTAGTTGATACAGTCATTCAATTTGTTTTTGTTGTTAAAAATAGCAAAATAAGTTGACAGTAGGAGAGTTTACTATGTAAAATTAACACTAAAAAGTCTAGTTAGTCCAACTGTCTTCTCTTTTGTCAATCTGAGGTTTATCTATAAACGATGCTGAGCTTCAGGTCTCAGACAGGAATCCTGATGTATGTATCCCACGTTCTTTAGGTCTTTTTTAAAAATACATTTAATTTTTGATATTTTTTCTGTGCATTTGGATGCTTTTATACCTTTGAGGTGAAAGTTGAACTAAAGGTGATGTCTGCTTCCTTCTAAAGAGGCGTTTGCGGCTTGTATCTTTATAGAGTTAAAGAATCTGCGGTTTAGCTGCTGAGGTAAACTGCAGAGTGCCATGTAAACCATTCACGGTAAACAAGGAGCAGCAGAAACAGCTGCTATTATTGAAGCCTTGACCAGCATGAGTAGATACAGTCTGTGGTTTATTCTCCTGCTGCCGTTCACTTTTTGTTCCAATGACAAAGGTATGTACAAAAAAATGCTTTTATAGAATGTTTTTTTTTTTATTTCTTTTGAATATTCTCAGTTTAAAATAGCCACAAATAACAGACATATACAAACTCTAGTTTAATAGCTGATTTTTTTTATTTTTTATTTTTTATTTTTTTTTTGCCATTGTTTTTACAGAATATAATCTGGAGCCGGTGGTGAAAACCATCAGGAAAGATGAAGATTTGACTCCAGTTTGCAGCAATTCCACACAGAATCCAATCGGATTTGTTGTCTGTAGGATCAGACCAGTGAGGAGCAGAGAAGAAGAATGTCATCTAATCTATCGAGTGATGAGAGGCTTTGAGCAGGGATGTGACTCCAGGTTTTCACTCATGTTAATAAATCAGACAATGTTTCTCCGTCTGAAAAATTTAACACCAGAAAATAGTGGAAGCTACAGCTGTGAGTGCTCACGTCCTGGTGGAACATTTACTCTACAGCTCAACATCACTGTGGAAGGTAAAGAAATCATTTAGCTTTAAAAAACTAATAAATCAATATAAGTTTAATTCTAACATGATAAAGAATTACCAGTGAAATGACAGTGAACGGTGATGAGATGTTGAAGTGGTCAAACTTCATGTGGTCTGGTGTGTTTAAAGACAGGATTAAAAAACTAATTTTAGTTAGAAAACTAAACCCTTTCAGATTTGTTTTTAATATAAAATCACCATTTTTTTCCCTACATGTGGTTCTTTGTTGGGTATTAATATTTCTCAATGATCTAATTTTGAATTTCCTAGATTAAAAAAAAGATCCAGGGTTTTATGTATTTTGAAAATATTTACAGATTTTTTAGTGTTATTCTATTTTTATTTAGGTCTTAATTTTTTTTGTAAATGTGAGAATCAGTTGTGTGTGTTGTTTTTGTTGATATTAATGTATTAAATGCATGATCCTCTGTATTAAAAAAAACATTGGAATGGAGCAAATGTTACTTTTCCTCATGAGTGTACTCTCAGGTTTTTAGGAAAAAAAAAAAAACCTGACACACGAGGCACTTAAAGTGGCTTTGAGCTTAAAATTCTTCTCTAACCGGATACAAATCTGTTTACAGTTTTTAAAAAAAGAAAGAAAATCAAAACAAAAATATTAACAGATGAGTTCGATTTTTGATTTAACATGTCATCATATGTGGTAACAGTTTCCTCAGTATGCCTCAAAGCTACAGTGTTTTGTATTGTTTTGTCACAAAGGCCTTTCAAGCCCTTACTTCAAAGTAATCCACTACTTTGCATCATATTATTTAATTTCCAATAAAGTATATCGTAAGTTGTTTTAAATGAGACAATGAAAGAAGAAGTTAGAATGGTAGAAATACTTTACCGAGACAAAACTTAAGCAATGCATTGTGATTTCCAAAAGGTTGTTCACATATTTAATCCCTTTGACAATTATGTTTTTTAGATGATGAAGGCACCATTCCTCCTTCAGAAACAACTTTCCCTTCAACTTTAATCATCGTACTTATAGTTTTGGTGTTGATTGTTGTCATCCTGCTGGGAATCATTTCTGCATGTTGCTGCAGGAATAAACACAACAGGTAGGAGATCCATCTGGTTCTGTTCAGAAGTATAATTGTCATGTTAGTATAAGGGAATATCATGCATTTTGAAATTATGATTTATAGGAAGGTCTATTTTTGACCTTCTCTCCTCCTAAACACAAGTGAAAGAAACTTGGAACTTTATTTCTTGAAAATACTTGTAATATTGAAAGTGTCCAAGTCTGGGTTTAAAACTCAGCTCAGTTCGGACTCTATATGCTGACAGTTTATGTTGATAAACTCGTTGTGTCCTACTTGTGCTTCTGCATTTAGATTATCTGGGAAACGGTTTTGATGCAGCTCTCTGGACCAAAACGTTTTTGTCAGCATCAGTGTTTATATCCCCACTGGGATGAGCTGCTTTGGAGAGTACCACAGGGCTCTGTTCTCGGACCCTTGTGGTACCGCCCAGTAAAATAACTTCCATTTTGTTTTCATGGAATAGAATGGTCAGGATTTGAATGTTGATCCAAATTCATTATTATTGTTCTCTAAGCTTTTTCTTGTTGCTTTACCCGCTGCCTCTTAGAGATATATGATAAATAAATTTTTCTTTCATTCTTATGCAGATGACAGTCAGGTTAATTTTCCACTAAAATGCATTTCTGAGCACTTTGTCCTGTTGTCCAGTAGATTTTGTATTTCTAAGTTATTTTTGGCATGGAAAAAATATAACTCATTAGGGACAGCTTGTAATTTTATTATTTACATTTCTTTTTTGCAGAAGAAATCAACTAAAACTCCTGACTTGGAATGAACTGAACAGCACAGCATTGTACAAGGTAAAACACTGAATGAACTGATATGTTTGTCTTCTTTTAGTCTTGGTCTCACAATAGTTTTTCTTTTTCATTTGTTGCAAACAGGAAGCAGCAGTGGCTGAGCCGTACCTTAAACAGGAAGTGACAAGGCTTTATTTTAAAGTCAAAGTGACCTGTTGTCAAACCATAAACTAATGAAAGATTTCATACAGAGGATTTCTTCTCCTGCGTGTGATCAATGTTTACACTGTGCTTAAGAAGTACAAACATATATTTTTCTTTTCTTTTTTTTTTGCCACCAATTAGCAATTAGTAATCGTTTCTGAGCTAAGTAGACAGAAAAAAATGTTTCTTATAAAGTGAATGTTGCTACTCGTTAGCAAGACTGAACTGTCTCATTTATGTTTGGCAACTGATAATATCTTGATTTATGCAACACGCACCCACGTTACATAAATCAAAAATATAATAAAACTTTCCGTATCACTGATTTTTCTTGCCATTTTTCTTTTGATTGACCACTTCTTTAGCTTCGCCACAAGGGCAGCTATGGAAAATGTTATGCACTTCCCTTTTTCAGTGGGCCTATAACTAGATCTTCCTTTTGTGAGAACAAACACTTTGTCTGGCTCTGAGGTTTTGACTGCTGTTGCTGTAGACGAGTGCAAAGGGGCACAAGCCTGCTCAGTACGGCTCAGTTTGGTTGGTCGCTGCTGCGGAGGATACATAGATGAACTCGTCTGGCTCTGCTTTTGTTAAAGGTGAGACGATGTTTCATCTTTAACGCTGTTCATCTTAACCTGTCTCTGTTGGAAATTAGCTTTATGGTCATTTCTAATTGTTTAGTAAAATTAAATTTGCTTCATTTCTTCGCTTACAGGAACGAGCTGCAGCGTCTTTGTGGTTCATCGTAGGTAGTTTAAGCAGTATGTGGAGATGCACTTTGTGGTTTGTTTTACTTCTGCGGCTGACACTTTGCTCCAATGACAAAGGTAAAGCAAACACACAAAAAGTACTATACTATACCCCGAATTACAGAATTACAAAATAATCCATCTTTATTTCTGATGTTTAACAGAACCAAACAATGTTTTGTTTCCCTCATCTTCAAGCAATATGTGTTAAAAACACCAATAAATGCTGTTAAATAGCTGCTCTTTTCCAATTTTTATTACAGAATATAATCTGGAGCCGGTGGTGAAAACCATCAGGAAAGATGAAGATTTGACTCCAGTTTGCAGCAATTCAACACAGAATCCAATCGGATTTGTTGTCTGTAGGATCAGACCAGTGAGGAGCAGAGAAGAAGAATGTCATCTTATCTATCGAGTGATGAGAGGCTTTGAGCAGGGATGTGACTCCAGGTTTTCACTCATGTTAATAAATCAGACAATGTTTCTCCGTCTGAAAAATTTAACACCAGAAAATAATGGAAGCTACAGCTGTGAGTGCTCACGTCCTGGTGGAACATTTACTCTACAGCTCAACATCACTGTGGAAGGTAAGGAAGAAATTTATTTTGTTTAGAAACAACAATACGTTTTTGTCTAAAGCAGATTTACCACAATGAAAATAATAAAATAAATGCAGAGCAAAAGTTTATATTCTTGTTAAAGGATTCATCCGTCTTGAATTATTTCAGGATGAGAAGCACAGCTTCAAATGTCAGAGTTTGCTTTGGGATTTTAAGTGAAAGTCACCCCCATTTGAATAATGGAAAAATGTGTAAATTGGAAACTAACCCATTTTTAGCTTACACTGCCCATCATCCTGAACTGGGTGAATATGGCAGCGGCAGCATCATGCTTCTCTTCCCGGAAGGTAAATGCAGAACTATCCCACTATGAAATCTGTAAGAAGCTACAGAAGAGTTCAGTTTAGGGTTGGTGGTTCACGCTTTAACAGAACATCAATCCAAATCAAGCAGAAAAATAATAAAGTGGTTTAAAGTATAGTCATGTAGTAAAATGGCCCAGTCAAAGTCTATCCCATCTGACTGAGCTATTTTGCAAAGAGAACCAGACTTAAAATTTCAATCTCCAGATGTAGAAGGCCAGTAGAAACACAAGGTCGATCAACAAGTTTTAACTCGGAGGCGCTGAAACAAATACAGCCACTTTTAGAAAATTTTTAAAACCATATAGTCTTTTTCTTAATGATTATGTACTTATTTGCATCATCTAAGGTCCCAATAAAGTGTGTTGTTGTGCTTCAAATGTGTCGGTGATTAAAATGTAAAAAGGATAGAAATGATAGATGTTGGCATCTTTGACAATATATATTTTTTTTAGATGACGAAGACACCATCCCTCCTTCAGAAACAACTTTCCCTACAGCTCTAATTGCTTCATTTGGAGTTTGTGGATTAATCATCATCATCCTATTGGGAGTCATTTCTGGATGTATCTGCAGGAACAAATACCACAGGTAGATGAGTATGGTTTTTCTCAAAGGTTCATCCATCTTGTTAATATTATTGATTACTGTACATTTGGAAATTATAGTACGTAAGGGCAGCAGTTCCCCTATTTTTCAGCTTCCCTCCTCCAAGATGACAGTGAAAAGAAACTAGTGAGTCCAACTGTTAGCTGAGGAGATGGACAGTACTGGAAATGTCCCAGTTTTTGCTGTAGTTCTGACTTAACAACCTTCTCCAGATATTCTAACGGTTTTGGTTCAAACCTTTGGATTTCTAGTTGGTTTTCTGCATCAGCATCAATGATTTTATCTCCAGTGCTGCTTTTCTGCCTTCAGGGATACCACAAGGCTCCATTCTTGGGATATTGTGATTCCTCGCAGTGAGGTCTGGTCCATTCTGTTTACATGAAAAAGTTTATGCTTTAATAACTTTGCCTGTTTCACTGAGGCGTCCCGTAGCATTGAGGTAGAGTGGGCGCCTCATAAACAGAGGGTATAGTCATTGACACAACCGTTTTTGGCTTGATTCCCGACCTTGAGACCTTTGCTGCAAGTCTTCCCCCTTCGCTCTCTCTGCCTGGTGACCGTCAATAAAGGTCTCTAGTGCCATAAAAATCATTTTTAAAAACATATTTCCTTTCATCCTTATGCAGATAACATCAGGTTAATTTACCACTAAAAGTACATCACTCAGTGCCTTTTCCAACTTTTCCTTAATTGTGTGGTTGAAATTCGAAGACACATGGCTTTGAATCGTCAGAATTTGAATGAGAATAAGACTTAAGTCATGTCGTTTTGCCAGACGACACCGGAAGTATCTCTGGTCTTGCTTTATTTCTCTAATCTAGTTTGAGTAAATCATCATTCCATTATTAAACTTAATAGTCAGATAACCAGCGTTTGAAAATCCTGCTTTTTTTTTCAGTTGTAAAGCTTATCAAAACAAAATCTTGAAGTGTTAATCTATAGTTTTTGATCTCTGTAAGGGAGTACCACAAAGCTTCATTCTCAAACTGTTTTTTTGTATGATTGTTGTCTCTTAGTGATATTATCTTTAAACATAATATTCCCTCTAATTTTTATGCAGTTGATAGCCAGGTTTATTATCCACTCAGACATATTATCCTCTTTCCAACCTTTTCTTGACTTCCTGACGGACATAAATCCACACACTCAATTTAAGATTCTCATTTTAAGCATCCTTAATATTTAGCTTAAATCTTTCTAGAATTATGCACCCTTTAATTTGCTAAAGTTGTGAGATCAGTTTCTTCAACCTGCTCAAGATCACCGAATCAAACTCAAAGGTGAAACTTTTTTCTTCTGCAGGTTCAAACTGTGGATGGCTTTTCTGTTGCCTTTTAAGTGGGCGGATTTATTTACTCTTCAAAAACACACAGTTACTGTTGACTTTCTACCCAGTGTGTTATTTGTTTGTACCATATCAAAGGTTATCTTGTTTATGGCAACAACTATATTCCTGTTATTACACTAACGGTCTTGAAAACGGTCTCTCAATGCTTTTAGCTCGGTCTAGGTGATCTAGTTTTATAAATTAAAATTAAGTCATGCAAAATAGTAAGGCATCATTTACCAGTATATTGTTTTAATCTATCTGCTCATAATGCAGATGAAGTCAAATTGATGATTGCGGTTTTATGCAGTTTATGGGAAGGCAGGATGTTCATGTTTGACACATGGCACACTTCTCAATGACGGCAAAGCAAACACACTTTACCCTCTTAAGCAGGCATCCTGCTTCAGCAGCATGTAAGGTAAGGAGGGGAAAGTTTGAACAAACCGCAGGACCAAGAACACCCAAAAAAAAAATGCCCAAGATGTTGATCTGAGTGGAGAACACAGAGAAGATTTGTTGAGGTTTATTTGTCTCCACAAACACATCCACGCTTGTACGGAAGTTAATATTTTGACTGGAAATTGCCAAATGTACAATTTTTGATGAATAACTTTTGTTTGTCAATTAGAAGAAGAAGAAGAAGATGTGAAGTGACCATAACTCCTCATCCAAACACGGTACATTACATTGTAAATAATGACACCTAATGCAGTTTTTTTCATTTCTTACTTTACTCTGGATATTTTTTTTTTTTTTTTTTACAATCTCGTTTGCTCTCTTGCAGGAAGTGCAGGACATTGAGCCGTACAGCGTCTACAGAGAGAACGAACTTTATTTAACGTCCGTAATTCACACCAGCCTGTCTACAAATAATCTGATTGTGATTGGGATGGATAATCCAAGCTCAGGGAGACCTCTATAGACTATTTTATGTTTTAATTTGTGTTTTTCTATGGAGCACTGTAACTGTCTATATTTTAACATCTGTGTATTTTGTTTAAAACTTATTTTCTAAATATTAAGCATTTTTCCATGTTAAAGTAAAGAGAAGACCAGAATAATGTCACATTTCAAACAAGAACCATGTTCTCTTTCTCCCCCAAAGTCTTCTCGACTCGACATGCTGTAATGTAATGGGTGAGGGGTGAGTTTGGGTGTTTCGGGTCGTTTGAACATCGACCACTCAGTCAGGCAGCAGCAGGTGGAAGCGAAGCGTTAAGGCTGACCAACAAATTCTTTCTTCCTGTATGAACTTCCTGTTTTCAGCCGCACAGGCCGCATGGCCTTGTCGCCTGCTGGTGTGAAACTGGAGGTGTAACCCTTCCACATGTCAACTGCAGTGTGCAAATTTTTACGCAAAGATTACTCTGCAAACACCACCACACAGACTTTATTGCATAAACGTGTTGACTTCTGGTCTCTCTTCTTAACTAACTTTACTCTCCTGTTATTTATTTGTATTGGTTGCAATAAGGAAACTGAAAAGATGTAAATATATAGGGAAAAATAGAATTATATTAAAATGTGTTTTTTTTTATTTACCGTATGTTTTTATATGTGTGCATTCATTGCATTAAACTTTTTCTTTTTCTTTTAAATGTCATTCAAACATAGATTTAGAATATTCTTCCAATATGGATCTACTTTAAATGCTCACTACAGTCTGTTCTATCATCTGTAAGCTGGTGATAATTGATCTATTTTTGTTGCATTTACAAGAGACGAGGATTTGATTCTAAGATACTGTAAAAAAAAAAAAAGTCAGAGTTGAAGCTGGAGTCTTTAGAGGAAGAGTCCAAGTTAAGCTGAAAGTCTTCTGTGCAACTAGAGTCTTTAAGAATCAGGGGGAAAGTAGATTATTTGAGTAAATGATTAATGCTTAATAATGAATGTTTCTGGAGAGCATGTGTTCTTAAAAGAAGCACTAGGTTAGTTTGTTTAAAGTCGACCGTCTTGTAGCGTTTACAGTAAGCAGACCACAGACCACAGTTTGAACTGAGATGTGCATATATTTTCCTGTTAAAGGTTGTCTTGATGTGGACATCATGCTGTAATGCAACAATTAGTTTGAGAAGATATGAAGAGTAATTACATGTTTGGTCTCAAGATGAAACTTAAGTTTCAACCAAGAAACTCTGATCTTCAAATGGTAATGTTTAGGCCACAACAGCAAGATACTAAAACTAAAACTAAATATTTTGTGTATTGTACACTTTTTTTTTTTTTTTTTAATCAGGACGGGACAAGATTTCCAAATATTTGCACAGATATGCAGATTCTTTTGTAAAATTTTGCAGTTTTGTGTATAACCGACAGTGTCATCTGCATACATGTTGATATTGTCTGGGAATAACTAGAAAATCATCAACAAAAGGTGTAAAGACAACTGGTCCAAAAAGGGGGCCTTGTGGGACCCCTAGAGGGCAAGAGAGAGTATAAAAGACAGTTTTGTGAATTGGTTGGAAATGCTGTTAGATTTTTCTCAGTGTATTACTTGTAAAATGAATTATAGGACAAGTTTAAATGTATTTGAATTATGTTGTTTGGAAATACCTGAAACTGTCAATAATTTCAGTTTATAGTTTCATGTTGGTAATTATTGTGAGGTGAAAAGAAACTTAAAGTATCTCACTTCTATGTGCTCCAATACCTTTCTTGTGACGTTTTACCTGTTGATCAATTCAATTAGGTTCAAAAGTGCTTTATTGATCCTAAAGGGGGAAATTAAATTGATGTTTAGTAAAAAGTAATGGTAACACTTTATTTGAAGGGGGGTGAATAAGTCTGTCATGACACTTTCATAAATATGACATAACACATGTCATGAACATGAATAAGCCTTCATGAATATTTATGACTGTTGTCATAAAGCAAGACATCATTACTGTTTAAACTTTACCTTTAAGAACATAAAGTTACCTAATTTTTAAAGTGCAATCAGTAATACTTTTATAACAAATTTATATCAGTAATGATTTCTTGGTTAATGTCAAGTTGTCATAAGAAAGACATTTTGAATAATGTCAACTTTGTATTAAAAGTGTCATAATTTACCGAATGACGCTTTATGACAACAGTCATAAATATTCATGAAGGCTCATTCATGTTCACAACAGGTGTTTATGACAGTGTCATGTCAGTCTTATTCACCCCCCTTCAAATAAAGTGTTACCAAAGTAATCAGGTGAAAACAGTTCGGTGTCAAACTTGGTGGAACAACTCAACAAAGCAGCCATAGTCCTGTAGTTACACTTCCGTTTCTGTTTGAATTGGTGGTTTATGTTGCGACAGCCCAACACAATGAACATACAAAAAAAATCACTGTTGCTTGGACATCATGATCTCTGTGGAAATATTTAAGCTCCATTTTTTGCTACTTATTCCATCGTCTCTCTCTCTTTTGGACAGTGAAGGTAACGTAAAGATAACTTTTATTTACATTTATTCTTTTTACATTTTAATGTAAATGCCATAAAAACAAGTCAGGATTTTGGACATTCATTGGTTTTTCTTTATTTTCCAACAACCTTCAGAGATTTTTCAGAGTCATTGATGGCAGCTTTGCTCATTGTCAATGTTCTCTCATTAAGCTTCATGATTTAATCGCCTGATATGGTTTAAAATGAAATTATACCTTGTCAAGACTTATTTTAGAATGGCTCGTCCTCTTAATTTGTTTCATGTGGAAGTTGTGTTCAGAGTTGGAGTTGGTATTTTTATGGATCTTCAAATCAATGTGTATTTCATATTTTTTATTACAAAGTCCCACATTTGTTTCTTAACAGTCTAAATGTGTGCAGTATGGAAAATGTAGGTAAAATAATTGAGAAAAAAAACAATGAGTAAGTATAAACTTCTGACTTTCTTTATTCTGGCATTTACTAAATAAATTTTTTTCATTAATCCTCAAATATTTAATAAAGGCTATGCATCTCACATATTTGTATATCAAAAACAAAAACAAGACTTATTCATTGTTCTTGATTGCCTGCAGTGACTCTTGTGAAAACAGTCGGGAAAGAATCTGATTTTACTGCAATCTGCACCAATGAAACATCAAATATCATCATACTGATCGTGTGTAAGATCAGAACAGAGAGGAACAATGGAGAGGAGTGCAGTCTGTTGTTTAAGGAAGGAGAGGACTTTGTTCATGAGTGTGACTCCAGGTTCTCACTGAAAACCAGGAATCAAACTGTGTTTCTGCACCTGACCAGTTTAACAGCAGCTGATAGTGGGAACTACTCCTGTCAGTGTGCTAATCTTGATGGACCATATTTTCTCCATCTCAGAATCATAGTTAATGGTGAGCACATTTTATGTTGCTTGAATCAAACTTATATGAACTATATATTCTCTAACAATGTTTGTTTTATTTCCAAAAGAGTCGTTTCCTAATGATAATCCAGCAGATGAGGTTTGGAGCCAGTCTGCAGGAGTGACTCTTCCTTCTGCTTTGAGTGCTGCAGTTATCTTGGTTATCATAGTTTCAGTTATTCTGGGATTTATTCACGGAAGACGTCCACATCGGTGAGAAACTAATGCAACATTCATAGTTTCTTCATTTACCTAAATTCAAGCTTCATATCTGAAGCTGCAGATTTTAAATTCACTCACGGTCTTCATCTGTGTCTTTAACATGATTGTTCCATTATCTTAAATCTAAATAGTTGTTTCTTTGAACATATTTTCCTAAGCTCTGCCTCCAGATGTTATTTTAAACTTTCACACTAATCTGGAGTTCAATTTATATTTAAAGCACCTGTTTAAGATCTGAGACATCCGGATCGTCTGTACATGGACCAGCTGCCGCTGTAGTGAGTAGATATCTATATTTTATAAGTTACTATTTTCAGACTGTCACAAAGAAATACAGGAAGAACATGTTTTACTTTAATTCTGTGTAAAACTGTCCCAAAACTTTTGCAGACCATTTTAGATGTTACATCCAGTCATATGTATGGCTCATATTAGTATGAGCCATACAGGCAGACAAGCAGTACCACAAAGTAACATTACAAACACTAGATGGCACAATACCTAAATATAAATAGTGAGTGAATTAACATAAACAATAGTCAGAAACTTCCCTCCTAACCAGCTGCAGATCATTTCCTGTGAAAATTAACTGGAACTGGAAGAAGTTTCTGATTAATTCTGGTTCAATAAACAGATTATTTCAACTCCAGTAAAGGTATAGTGATAAATCCTAATATATATTACATGTACTTTACAAAATGATCACAAGATGGCACTGTTGCGCTTAGCGCGAGAATCTCTAAATCTAGGAACCAAACTGCAAACTGATCTTCTCTGCATTTAAACTGTGAGAAACAACAGTTCAAATGTAAAGACAAAAAATCGATAAGAACTGAATCATTTAATGTGTTACTGTTAAAGCCTGTCTTTTATTAAAGAGATTTAAGAGTTCTTGAAACTTCTTCTCCCAGTGAAACATCAAATGATGTTTCACTTGACTTAGGCTGTTTGCGTGAAGATTTTTACTATATTTTTTTGTTTTTTATTGTTTAGGATGAAGATACCTCAGATAAACTGTACTCAAGCCTCCAACAACAAACCAGAGACATTTACCAAACTGTCTCCTCGGGTCGCCATCAGTATAAAACTGAAACCAAAGTCACTGATGAGCTGGAAAACATGGAAATGACCAGAAATTGTAACATTTATGAAAACATTTTGAACTGAAAATCTGTCTTGATAAATACAACTGAATTTCCTCGTTATGTTGTGCTGTGATAGACCAACATGCAGCATGTTGAAGGTCAGTGTTATCACCTAGTGATGATAATGACCTGCTTGTTTACCATACTGACAAAATATGGTGGTATTATATGAAATCACAACTGTTCTGTTTGTTTTGCATGTTGATCTTAATACAAAAAATCTTTATTTTTTTGTCATTTAACAATTTTTTTTAATTTCTACTTGATTATGCTTTTATGTCATGTTTCTAACACATCTGATGTTTTTCATATGTTCCCTTGATTTTGCTTTAAATGGCTCTAAATTTTACAAATGATGATATATAAATAAATCTACTTCACCTTTGAAAATGATGGACACTGTTTCTACAATATAGCACAATAATTCATAACAGGATCTGATTTCTGTGTTTAGTTTTGTTGTCTTTATAATTTGATTCTGGCTGTCGCTGAAAAAAAAAAAACCCTTAATACCCAGTTATTAAGATGTTAAGAATTAGGAGCAGTAATTTAAGCAGTAAATAATAATAATAATGATATAGCTTATTTAATAGGTGTCTTCCAGAGCACCTGGTATAGAGTAGTAGTGAAAAATTAAAAGCAATAAAAAAAATTAAAGAGCAGTTATGTGGAGATTTGACAGAGATGAGGAGAAAGTTAATGCTCTTAGTGTGACATGTGAGCCCTAACATCACACACTTTTAAAATTGCAAATTGCAAAATTAATCAAAATTTACTATGACCTTAGTCATTATGACCTGAATTATGAGACTTAAAAATGTAACCATAAACAAACTGGAAGACGACATTTAGCCACTTGTTTCTGGCGGCACGTAAAACTTTGGTAAACCTTCATGAATTGTTGCATTTTTCGACCTGGTTGCGAACATGTTTGTGTGAAAGTGTTGCATAAAGAAGCAACGAGGAACCTAACCTACATAAAGCATGACCTTTATTCTTTTTACTGCTCACATTCAAGTTATAAAAGTGTGAAGACCACAAAGCAAACATGACATTTAGATCTCCTAACCCCATATTGTTGCAAAAAAAAAAAAAAACAAGCAGGAAGTCCTGCCTAACATGCTGATAAAGCTTTAATATAAGATGTTAGAGTACAGAAAAATGCAATAATGGTTAATACCAATAGTAGTTCATTGTTATGCTTTTAAGCAAACTAACATTACAAACTGTAATTTGAATTGTGCAGAGATAATTCCTGTTTGTGTTGTCTGTTGTTTCAAAGAAAGGCCGTCATGCAGGCGCATTTCCTTTTGAAAAAAAAAAAAAGAAAGTCACATCCTTTTGTGCCGTTGTGAGAGATGAGAATTTGTGGTTTGTGTCGCCCAAAAAGATTTAAAGGACAGTTCAGGCGGCCTCAGTTCAGTGCAGCAGCAGATTTTGCTGCAATAAGCAGGTTAGATGGATGCAGTGAGATTCAGCCTTTTACTGCTTCTGCCATGTTTTGGCTGCTGTCTGGACTCTGAAGGTAACGTAAAAATCTAATTGTCTATAAATTTAATTTTTAGTTTGTTTTTATCAGAGGTTTTCAATTTCTGTTCAAATATAAATAGATCTGATTTACCTTAAATTCCACTGTTTCTTAAATCTGACTATCTCTCATTCATTGAACTTATCTGTTTGCAGTGACTCTTGTGAAAACAATCGGAAAAGAATCTGATTTCACTCCAATCTGCACCAATGAAACATCAAATATCATCATGATGATTGTGTGTTGGATCAGAACAGAGAGGAACAGTGGAGAGCAGTGCAGTCTGCTGTATAGGGATGGAGGTGACTTTGTTCATGAGTGTGACTCCAGGTTCTCACTGAAAACCAGGAATCAAACTGTGTTTCTGCACCTGACCAGTTTAACAGCAGCTGATAGTGGGAACTACTCCTGTCAGTGTGCTAATATTGATGGAACATTTATTTTCCATCTCAGCATCACAGTTAATGGTGAGCACACTTCCATATTTGTTCTATCAAACTTATAGTAACAATATATTCTCTAACAATGTTTGTTTTATTTCCAATAGCATCGAATCCCGATGAGAATCTATCAGATGACGTTTGGAGCCAGTCTGCAGGAGTCACTCGTCTTTCTGCTTTGACTGCTGCTGTTCTCTTAGTTATCATAGTTTCAGTTATTCTGGGATTTATTTACAGAAGACGTCCACATCGGTGAGAAACTAATGCAACATTTCTTCTTTTATTTACACTTAGGCTTCTCAGCATAAGCTATATTTAAAAAAAAAGTACCTATTCTGTAAAAAAAAAAAAAATCAGGCAAGTGTTACACTGTTTTATTTCCCAACAGAGAGCAACCGGAGTCGCGCATTCATCATGTAGAGGAGGTAATTTATATTTTAAAAATTGATGCATTTTATTTTATTTACACATGCACATTTTTAAGCTTATTCTTCCACGATTTGTTCTCCAGGACGTGACTGAAATCGAGCCGTACAGCTCCTACACTCAGAAGGAAAATTCACTTTATTCAACAGGCATATTGCACAGCTGTCAAATTAATTCTGACTCTACAAATATTGTCTCCTGATTATCTCCTGAATGAACAAATTTACCATCACAATTCTTGGGTATTTGGACTTTTTTTTTTCTTTCGTATTTCAGATAATTTCCTTCTGATTTATTTATGTTCGATGGGTCTTGCCGTATTCGGTTTATTTCTCGTGTTCATTAATGTTGTCATATAAGTTATTTTGTTTTTAGTTTCTTGTATTAGTTTTTTGTGAATTTGGGTTTAGTTCTCTGAGATCACTGTTGATCATTTTCACTTAGCTTGTCGTTTCTCTGAGTTTTAGTTTATCTTCCTGGACTCTCCCTCTGTTCATCTGCCTTCTCTCTGCCTCAGTTGTCATTTTCCACCCCTACCTCTTTGTAAAGACATGTTCATGTGTTCATATAACATATGTATATGTATGTACATCCTTTAACATGTTTCCAGAAACCTCGGCAGCACGTCATTTTTGCATAAACGTCCAAAAACAAATAAGCAAACACAAAGGAAAGTTGTCAGTTTTGGTAATTTGGAAAAAAAAAATAAATCTCCATAACGCTCAACACAATTTTAACAGCGTTTTCATTGTATTTATTCCTCTTCGTTAATATTTATATTGTGTAAAAATAGCTTGGGGTAAACATTTAACGTTGCTTGTTTTTATTTAGTGTATAAAAACACATTGAAAACTTTTTTGAACTGTTCAATGCCACATGAATTTAGAAAAAATCATTAAGAGTCAGTCTTGGTTAGACCATGATCAGCCTTAACCACCTTTAAGCCACATTTAGACATCAGTTGATGACTTGATGGGACATGTTTTCATCTTTCACTTTTTAACCACATTGTTTAGACACAACAACTGGAGCATGGTGTCTGTTCTCTGCCATTTCAAAAAGGGTTTGCAAAATTTTGCAAGTTTGTTACATAACTCTTATAGCTACTTGACAAAACCTCCGCATTATAAACGTCTTTTAAGTTTTTTTCTTAAAAAACAAAACACTTAATGTTGGAACACTAAGTAAATCAAATTTCAAAAAATCTGTCCTCTTCCCATCATACTTCCTGAACTGGTGGTTTGTTTCTGTCTCACCTTCATGTGTCCTAATGTAATCATCTTGCTCATATTTCCTCCTGGATACTTTTATTATAGTATAATTTAATAATTCTATGAAGAAAAATAACACTTATTTAGATGTTATTGTATGTAGATGGAAAATAAAAATACTTCTATTGTACTGCGAGTTTATTTTACTCTACAGGACTCGGAACTTTTTCTCTTTACGGCTCACATTCAAGATTATAAATATGTGAAGACCACAAAGCAAACATGACATTTAGGTCTTCAGTTTTGCTAACCACCTATTTTGCAGAAAACAAGGCAGGAAGTCCCATCAGCCATGACAACATGCCGTTATGCCACCGGCTCTGTTGTGATCTAAGAGGTGATGATACATTAAAATAAATTTCTTTAATTTTTAATATAAGTAATAATTTGAATTTTAAGTGAACTTTTGACCCTTTATGACGTTCAAACTGTAACGATGCGATGGGCAAAGATAATTCAGGTTTGTGTTCTGTTGTTTCACAGTGAAGTCGTCATGTAGACGCGTTTCCCTTTCAGAAAAAGTCTCACATCCTCTTGAACCACTTTGAGAGATGACAATTTGTGGTTTGAGTCGCCCAATAAACGTTCAGAGGACAGTTGAGACGGCCTCTGTTCAGTGCAGCAGCAGATGTTGCATCGATAAGCAGGTGAGATGGATGC